TTGGTTGAACACCTTCTTGAACGACTTCTTCATATGATGGTTACCATCCCTCAGGTGGAGTATAGGTCAAATAGATGGAAGCAAATTCATCTTAAGTCAAATCAGTAAATTAATTAACTCCAACTGTGTATGTCTATGTTGGGTCGGCATTGTGAGCTAAAATTTTTGCATAGTTCTATTCAAAGATAGCTCTTCTGTATGCTTCCTCAACATATGCATAGGATTTAGTATATTAAATTTTAAATTGTTCAAAGACCATTGAAACTTCGTCGACTGGTTATTGATTTTGAATATAGCCTATAGTGCTTAAAAGGAGTGTCAATCCTGCCACTAATAATGTTTTTTACATAAAATAATTAAAGCATCTCAATTTTTGATTCACTCCTTTTTAAACTCTATGATGATGACATTAAATAAAGACTTGATGATGTCATTGTAATTGATATAATTTTAAGCTATTTATATATTAAAAAAATTTGTACTATCTTTTTGTAAGATATTATCATGTAAATCCTTCTTTTATTTCTTATGCCCTCTTCTTATTTATTCAAAGTTGGATTTGCTAAAAAATTATGTAAATAAATTCATGAAAAAATGATCGTTCTGTGTTTTCTTTAAATAGAAGCAGATAATACGCATTAATAGAAAGCTTACCAAAAAAGAAATTTGATTAGAGATCAATAGATTACTTGAATATATAGTGTCTTATTTAAAAAATTAGTTTATTATCAAAGATATATTTTATATGACGTCTAAGCATATTACTAGTAATCAAGATTGAGAGGATATTATAGTACTGATTCAATGTTGGTTTACTTCAAGAAATAATCAATAATATATTAAATTAGAATATCCCTCCTTAGAAAGTATCCTGAGAGTATAATTATTTTTTAGTACATTTAAAAAAGGAATAATGGTATCAATTATAAAATAATTAGAATAATAGTCTCATAACTATAAATTGGTTCAAAGAACATAAACTTTATCTAAAAAAATATGTTTTATAATGATATATTCTAAGGGATTTGCAAATAAACTAATATAGATTATAATAAAATTATTGATCATCAATTACAAGAAATTATACAAACTGGTAAAGTATTTACAAAATAAAATGATAAATTATTATTTGAAAATAACATTATTATTGTTTCCCGTAAAATTGGTAACCTTGTTTTACCTATCATTAATAGTATAAATATTATATTAATTCAGTTATAAATAAAATTGCTAATTTTTTTATTTAAATATCATACATTATGTTAAATATCTTTGAGCTTTAACTAATCAAATTATTTTTATTTCAAAAATGACCAAATTTTATTTCTCACAGATTTATGAATTGCTATTTAAATTTAGAATCTTTTCTAATTATAAATATTAATTATAATGTAAATATGAATTAGATTTCAAATTTTATATATATTATAAGTTAAATAACTAACAAAAATTATGCTTGTTAGAAGTAGTTTATCTCCAAGAAGAAAATGTTTCACACCATCAATGTGGGAAGGCAGACAGCAATAAACTATAAGAAGAAGTTAAAATCGTTATTTGAAAACTGAAGATGTTGATCACAGGAATGTTCAATCTAGAAATGATGATTCAAAAAGAAAATCCGGAAGTATCGTCAATAATAAGAAAAATAAGTCTATGACAAATCATAAGGCCTCGTTAAATAGTTCTTTTAATACAAAAAACCTAAAGACGATTTAGTTATCAACAAGAAAATCATCATTACAGAAGTATAACCAATAAATATTAAATTTAGTAAATTACATCCTAATAGCACAACAAGCGAACACCATGTTCATCAATATTTCTCATAGTCTCCTGCGAAAAGAATATTAAATTGTGAAAAGCTAATAAAGGCATAGAAATTTTCAGAGGCTTTAAAAGATTTAGAGGAAATTGATTAACCTCATATAAATCCAGAATACATAAAGGAAATTGCTTACTTTAAAGGTTTAATTCATATGAATTGTCGGCAATATGATTAAGCAATTAATTAGTTTTCAAGAGCAAAACAATCAGGGGATTTAAATGGAAATACTGTCATTTTATAAGCATTATGTTTAAAAAAAATTGGGAACTACAGTGATGCAATAGTTGTATTAAAAGAATTTTTATCTAAAAAATATTCAAAATTATAACCAACTTATTATGATGCATTAATTCATAAAGGAAAATTATTAATGAAAATAAAAAAATACTAATTAGCTTTACAAGATTTCAATTAGGCAAGTGTTTTAGAAAATGATTAAATATCATTTTAAGGTACTTTAGGAAGAGCAGATTGCTTAAGATTGAGTGGTAAAATTGCTGAGGCATTGAATGTTTATGAAACTATTCCAGAGAATGAAATAATTTTAATGAGAAAAATATATTGTTATATTGAGTTATAGTCCTTAGATAGGGCAATGGAAGCTATCAATTTAATTTTAATTAATGACCCAAATAGTTCAGAGGCACTCTTCATGAAAGGCTAAATTTATATCAATAAAGGATAATTAAATGAAGCTATTTTGAGCTTTGAATAATCAATTAAATAAAATAATAGCAGAAAAGCTGTCACAAAATCTTTGTAAGAAATAGCCAAAATTAAAATTGATCAAAAAGATTTCTATTCTGCGTATTATACTTTGCAAAGAGAAGATCATTTAGAGGTAGATAAAGAATCAATTATGAAATTAAGATAGTTTACAGAAGGAGTGATATTTTTAATGAAAAGAAAATATTAAGATGGTGTAAATGTATTTACATAATTAATTAATAATTATTAATTGGGAGAGTTCATCAAAAAGATTATTTTTCTTTATAGAGCCTATGGTAATGTTATTCAATATTTTAGGTTTTATTTGTTTAAATAAATTCTAAAAGGCATTAAACGACTTGATTTATGTTCAAAATTTTTAAGAATTAGATCAGCCGTCATTATATAATAAGATCATTTGTGAAGGAATTGTAATGTCTTAATCAAGCCAATTTGAAAAAGCATAATCATAATTTCAAAAAGCCTCAAAGTTGTTTCCTGGTAAAATGGAGCCACATTTTTATAAGTCCTTAACACTTATATAATTTATCAACAAACATATGCCAAAAGACAAGGATAAATATATAAAGAATGCGTTAAAACATTTAGATAAAGCAGTAACTCTAAACGATTAGAATTCAAACCTTCTTTATCATAGAGGAATTTTAAGATTTTATTTTGGATAAATAGATTTGGCATTATCTGATTTAACAAAAGCAGTTGAAAAAAATGAAGATCGAGTGGCTAAATATGTTTATGCAAGAGGATTAGTAAGGGCCTGTTTGGACAATCCTCAATAAGCTCTAAATGATTTCACTATTGTTATCAATTGGGACTCAAAATTTGCTGAAGCGTATTTAAATAGAGCCAAAGTATTTACATTGTTAGGAGATAGAACTGCTGCATTTAATGATTTACAAACTTACATTTCTCTCAAGCCTAAAGATCCTGATATTCATTTGTGGGCAGGAAATTTATTATTTTTAATCGGAGCTTACGAGCATGCTATAAAAACATATTCTCATTCTCCAGATATTCAAAATAATGTTTAATTACTAAGGTATAGAGCTCTATGTTATATAATTTAAAAAGAATTAAATTACGCAATGTCAGATTTAAATCGAATAATAGAATTGACTGGAGATAAAAAAAGCTATATTGATAAAGAATGCTTGTTAGCTTTGAAAACATCAACTGTAGGTCCAGAAGAATCCTAATCGATGATGATTCTGAAATTATCACAAGGATCAAATAAATAAGTCAATTTCAGATTAGCATCTTAGATGCTTAAGAAGTTGATTGTTTTAGGTTCAGATGGCCATGTATTTTTAACATCGGATCTAATATTTTATAGAGGAATAATGAAATTTTACTTAGGTAACTATAAAAAAGCTATGGATTTATGGACAAAATCATATGGGTTAAAATAATAAATAAAAGAATTTAGTCAATAATCTAATAATTCGTTAATTTCATAGTAAGAACAATAAGAGAGATTAATTAGTGAATTAGATGAGTTGGAATTTGAGGATAGAACATATAATATGTATGAATACTATTACAATGTTGCTATTGCTACAATATTAGTAATATATATATTTTATCTAAGAATAAATAAAAAAGAAAAGGAAAAGAGTTATTGAATTAATTAGCCGATCAACTTTAGGAATCATTTGAAACTACAATTCGAGATTTTCTTGCAGCATTAGACTCAACTTAAACTAAAAGTGCAACCATTTTTCCCTATTCAAATAGATTATGCTGCATTTTCCCAACTTTTAAAATTGGGAATTTAGAAACCAGACTTTCCTTTTGTTTGCCTAGAATAACTCCTCCATCTATGAATCCAGAATTTGATAATAAATTAATTGAAGGAATTCAAGTAATTCTAATTATTCGATTACAATAGTATAGTCTACAGACGTGGACAACAAACCGGAGGCACCATGGATTAGAAGAAATCCTGATGGAGTGATATTTACAGAAAATGTACAATAGGTTGAATTAGATTTAAGAAGCGAAAGCTAGAAATCATAAATTGATCACAATTAAGAAGAAGAAAATGATGATGACAATTCAGAATAGTAATTTTATTAATCCTATATCTAGACATTAAATTTCCATTAATGATGATAAAATCACTATAGAATAACGACATTAGGATGATTCAACAACATATCAAACTAACTATAAAAAAGATATTGAATTACTTAAGTAATAACTGAGACTTGATAGAATTGTTGAACAACGATTAGCAAAATTAAAATGAAACCTATATATATCATATATCAATTTATATTTAAGATATGTTAAGTTGATTATAACGATCCCTGATATCCTACATAGAATCAAATATAAAGAATATGAATACATAAAGGAAGTATATTTGAGGAGATAAAAATTCATCTTTCAAAATTTTATACAGTCTTACAAATTTANATTTTACTTAGGTAACTATAAAAAAGCTATGGATTTATGGACAAAATCATATGGGTTAAAATAATAAATAAAAGAATTTAGTCAATAATCTAATAATTCGTTAATTTCATAGTAAGAACAATAAGAGAGATTAATTAGTGAATTAGATGAGTTGGAATTTGAGGATAGAACATATAATATGTATGAATACTATTACAATGTTGCTATTGCTACAATATTAGTAATATATATATTTTATCTAAGAATAAATAAAAAAGAAAAGGCAAAGAGTTATTGAATTAATTAGCCGATCAACTTTAGGAATCATTTGAAACTACAATTCGAGATTTTCTTGCAGCATTAGACTCAACTTAAACTAAAAGTGCAACCATTTTTCCCTATTCAAATAGATTATGCTGCATTTTCCCAACTTTAAAAATTGGGAATTTAGAAACCAGACTTTCCTTTTGTTTGCCTAGAATAACTCCTCCATCTATGAATCCAGAATTTGATAATAAATTAATTGAAGGAATTCAAGTAATTCTAATTATTCGATTACAATAGTATAGTCTACAGACGTGGACAACAAACCGGAGGCACCATGGATTAGAAGAAATCCTGATGGAGTGATATTTACAGAAAATGTACAATAGGTTGAATTAGATTTAAGAAGCGAAAGCTAGAAATCATAAATTGATCACAATTAAGAAGAAGAAAATGATGATGACAATTCAGAATAGTAATTTTATTAATCCTATATCTAGACATTAAATTTCCATTAATGATGATAAAATCACTATAGAATAACGACATTAGGATGATTCAACAACATATCAAACTAACTATAAAAAAGATATTGAATTACTTAAGTAATAACTGAGACTTGATAGAATTGTTGAACAACGATTAGCAAAATTAAAATGAAACCTATATATATCATATATCAATTTATATTTAAGATATGTTAAGTTGATTATAACGATCCCTGATATCCTACATAGAATCAAATATAAAGAATATGAATACATAAAGGAAGTATATTTGAGGAGATAAAAATTCATCTTTCAAAATTTTATACAGTCTTACAAATTTAGATATTTATACTAAACTTGATGTAAAGTTTAATTTAGAAGAATTAGGTTAATAATAATTATTAAATAAAAATTTAATGGAAAATACTATTAGTTTTAATTTAACAATTATTTTTTCTAAAATGATTCAAATTTGAAATGAAAATATTATAATGACTTAGTTTCCTGTGTTTAGAAGTTATTAACTATTCTTTTTTCATTCAAATCTTCTTAAATTAAAAAAAAATATTCATTTTTACAAAGTATTATATTGATTCTAGACAATATGATTGATCATATTTATTTCAAAGGTCATTTACAATTGAATTACGGCCATCAATTTAATTCTAATTCATTTATTTTCTTTAGAAGTTTATTCTCAAATATCCTCATAATCTTATTGGTGCTTGTATTATTATTATTCCTATTACCAAAGTTCAAGATCTTATTCTTCTTCTTTTTTTTTTGATATTTTAATGCATGTCATAATATTGATTCCATTATTTATATTATATAGCCGATGGATAAAACCCATGCTGATGCTATTTTTCTTACATCATTATCAATTATTCTTAATCATAATGATTCTTAATGTTTCTAAATGATTTTGGCACAATTAATTCTCTCAATTATTTGAATATTTTTGAAGTTTTTTCATCATAGATGAAGTCATTATACCTTCAAACTATTAAAGAAATATTGTTTAAGTTGTATGTTCTTATAGAGACAAATGTCCAGTTTTCATATGTTCTTTTTTTTTTGGCTACTTTACTTATTAATACAATCCTTTTGATTTTTAAGTTTGTCGTGACCCTTCCTATGATCCTAAAGCATCATAATTTGAAATAATATCAGACTAAAGTTGAGGTAAAGGGGTCCCTTAAGAATAATGATAAATTTATTAAGGAACAGCTCATTATTTATCTCTGCAAATACTTTAATAATAAAGTACAGTTATTCATTCTGAAATTGTTTTTAAGCAGGATGATCAATAAGTTATTTTCTGACTCTCTAGATTTTAGTAATCTTCCTTTAGAATCAGTATTTCTTTAAATCATCAACAATAGAATACTAGATCTTTGTTTTTTTTGGTTTCTGCTCATCAGTTATTTTCTATTCATGAATACCATCAATAGGGTAAGCAGAGATAGGAAGAGGATAAGAGAACTAAGTAAAATAAGCAAGTTAATTGTAGTTTGAACAAGGTAAAATGTCTTGCTACTTTAATTGAATTAGATTAATTTGCATTTCTGGGTCTAATTGAAAGTCTATTTGCTTGTCAGCTGTAAAATAATATGGCTACATAGTATGAAATGCAATAAATTTAATATATTCTAATAATTTCAAAAGTTTTATTTCTCTTTTTGTTCCTAATTGAAAATTTTAATTATTCTAATTCTTTTTTTGTTTAATTTTACAATTATAATCCCCAAGAAATAGATAGTAAGAAGTTGGTCTCCATACTATATATTCTTTGTAATAATTTTACAACATCTGATTTAATTTTGAGTATTATCTATGAACAATTAGTTATGGAAATAACAAACAAGCTAAAAGGAGAGGAATAATGACTTTATAAAGTCTGATTTTAATTTGTAAAATATTCATTGAATGGGTCAAACTAATAATTTATGAATAGAATATCATTTATTTTAAGATTTCAAGTCATTAAATAAATAAATGTAGAAATTAGAGACAAATACTATTATCTTGCTTCCTTAATTGTAAAGTTGGAAATGATCCAGAAAAATTTACAATTTTTATCTTTTTCAAAAGCATTAGTATATAATCTCTATTACTATTTGTAGGCGGTTTTTCTTTTAAGAATGGCTAATAAATTACTTTTCTTTTAAATTTCAATCTTTTATATAATGGATGAGTAAATAAAATAAATCCTATTATGGTTCAAGTTGTATAATTGAAATAATTTAATTATAACAGGTGAAATATTTGGTTCTTTTCATTGAATTTATAATTTACTAATAAAATGGGTCCTTGCATATCTCAACATCCAGTCTCAACTGAGATTGATAAACGAGGAAGTGTATGCTTAGAAGAAGGTTAACTTCAAGAAAAGGATAAGCCGCAAGAAGTTTAAGCAGAAGCATAACCATTATCATCTTATGATGAATAGAATGTTATTAAAATTTAATCAGGATTTAGAGGAATGAAAGCAAGAAAGGAAGTAAGATCCAATACCAATATCTAGGCTGGGCAAGAAAAAGAGTAATTGGAAAATACAAAACCAAAAAATGATAATATTAAGCCTTATAATGGAACTGTAGAATCCTGCAATGATTTCATAAAAGAGAAATAACTTGTACATGGAGAATATAATTACAATACAATTTATGATGAATAATTCTTAAAATCAAGATTTTTAACTCCTTATGTAAAAAATTAGTTTATTTCAGCTATTAGAAGATGGTTCAATTTATGAGGGATAATGGATGAATGGATTGAGGGAAGGCAGAGGAAAATTGATTTATCCTGATGGTTCTATTTATGAAGGCTACTTTTTATAAGACTATTAACATCTTCATGGAAGATTAATTATGGCATCAGGAGATTTTTATGTATAGAATGATATTTAGTAAATAGTAAGGGGATTTTAAGTATGGCTAAATAGAAGGCAATGGGACATATAAATATGCTGATGGTACAAAATATGAAGGTGAGTTCAAAAATAATAGGCAAAATGGTTTTGGCAAAGAAACATGGCCTGATGGAACAAAGTATGAAGGAAGTTATGATAATGGAGTTAAATATGGAACAGGCCGATTTTAATGGACAGATGGATCGATTTATGAAGGCAGTATAGTAAATGATTAAATGGAAGGTATCAATTTATATTCATTAATTTTAGGATATGGAACCTTTGTATGGGCTGATAAGAGGAAATATAATGGTAATTGGAAAAATAGTATGATGAATGGTCAAGGGGAATTATTTTATCCTGATGGTAGATATTACAAAGGTAGAATAAAACTGGATATTATTTTAGGTTAATTTCAAAATGATCTTAGAAATGGGGATGGGACATTCTTTTATAATGATGGAACAAGTTATTTTGGACCATGGAAAAATGATAAATAACACGGAAAAGGAACTAGAAAATAAAAAGGAGGTCAGGATGAAGAGTAAGAATGGAATAATGGATCTAGACTAATTTGAAGAATCGAACAAAAATTATAAATATTGTAATATTAATTTATAATATTTTATTAACGTATGCAATTCACTCCCGACACTCGGAATGTGGGAGGGCGATAATTAATATTATCCCAATTTTGGGGTCATAGATTATGCCTTTAATAGATTAAAGAAAGGCATTTAAATACAGAGATTAAATGTTCATTTCTAAAGAAGAATGAAAATTCAAAACTTCCCATTTCTACAAGAATAAATGATTTCAACATGGTAATTCATAGAAAAAAATTGTAAAACATTAAGGAATGTTTAACAGATAGAAGTAATAAAGAGCCTTCTTATTTTTTCAGAAGATTGCCTTCTCCTTAAAGTCTAAATTCAAATTCAATCTTTAATAAACTAACTATGATAAAATCCAAATCTACATAAGATAAACTGTAAAATGGAAAAATAATCCCTCCTCCAAAAATAGATATCGAAAAATTTATACCGTAGAATACCAAAACCTAAATTAGTTGGATTAATTTAATTAATAGTTTACACGGTCCTCAATATCCGCTTAAAAGGTGGATAAAAGAGTTGGCCATTGAAAATAGGATATTTGATGAAAATGATTTTGCAATTTTAATCAGAATTCTAGTCAAAGCATATTAAATTAAGTAAACAACATTAGTCAGTTTAGTGGCAGAAATTATAGAAGAACTTGAAAAATGAGGATATTTAAAATAGCTCAATGAATCTATTACTACAAAAATACAATATTGTTTGACTAAAATAAAGTATTAAATATCTATATGAATGCATTTATTATTCTTCTAAAATCATGGTCAATTTTGAAATTTACTTATTTTATTATCATATTAATATATATCCAATCAAATTAGTAAACAAGTGCTTGACCTTGAAAAAAAATAAAAATGACAATATTTATTTTTATTTTTAATATAGATGCTATTCAAAATTTCAAGGTATTTTAGTAAATAAACTTCATAAAAAACAAAACAAATATTTGATAGAGAGAAACATATTATCAATAGATAATATGCTTTAAGAACAAAAATTGAAAATATATTTCTAAAACAATCAAGCATTACTTTGGCTGACAATTTATCTTCTATTCGAAAATAGTATGATGGCAATATTGCCTACTTTGGACAAGGAGCTGCACAATTTTTATAAAATTTACCTAACAGTCTATAATTTTAATAATACTAGATTTATCACCTAAAACCATTTATTTATGTGATTTAGAATTGGATTTTTTAGAATATAGTTTATAATAAATCCAAAATGATGAACAATTAAAAGGGAAATTTAAAATCTTAAAAGTCTCCGAAATGACATCTTAAGATAATAAAACAATATTGGTTCCTATTTGTTGTGATGAAGATTTTTGGCCTTTTTTAGATGGTCATTTATAACTAATAGTATCAAATATGAATTTGCATTGGGTTAATGACTTGCAAGTAGTTCTAATAAAATGGCTAGAAAGCTTAGAACCAGATGGTACATTGGTTGGATCGATATTTGGTTCTGATACTCTCTAAGAATTGAGGATATCATACTCTTTAGCTGAAAACGAACGATTCGGAGGAGTTTCATAACATGTATCTCCCTTCATTTCAATTACAGAAATGGGAAATTTGCTAACAAGATTAAAATTCACTCTGCCTACAATATGCACAGAAAGAAAGTAATTGTTTTAGAAACTTTTGTAGTCTTTACGAGTTTGATTCAATCTATCATTTAATGCAATATATTTAGGATATTGGAGAAGGTGAAGCATTAATTTAAAAAAGGATAGGCACTTTTAAATAAACAATCCAAAGCGTTAGTGCTATTTATGAATCCTTATTTAAGAATGAAAATATGAAGGTTAATAGTACTTTTGAATAGATTTATTTTTCTGCTTGGAAGTATCACGAATCATAAGCTAAACCAAAATCGAGAGGTAACTAAAAATTATTACTTTTAGGTTCAGCAACTGTTTCGTTACAATAATTATAGAAAGAAATATATCAAATAGCACCTGAAGATAAAATTATATTTGGAACTTTAACAGAGGATGATTATTAGGAAAATATCATTAAAGATGAAAAAGGTACAAAAAAAAAAAATTGATATTATGAAAATGAATAATAAGCAAGTAAAAAAATAGATATATATAATTTACAATAATATTTTTACAAGCAAATATTATTTCATTCTTGAATTTAATCAATAAGATGAAATATTAGAAGTAAATCTTATAAATATAAAATATATAATAATTTATTTAAAGAGGAGATGGAAGAATTTTTAAATTAAAATGATCTTTAAACTAGATTTAGTGATTATTACACATATGTTGACACTTTAGGACAAGGAGCTTTCGGTTTAGTTGTAAAAGCAGTCAATAATATCACAAAAACATAAGTAGCAGTAAAAGTAGCTAAATAAATAATAAATTAGATTATCTCAAAAGCAACTATAAAAAGATTTGAGGCTCTTGAATAAGAAGCTGCTATATTTTCATAATTAAATCATTAAAATATAGTCAAATTTTATGATATTAAACGAACAGATACTAAAATTCTGATAGAAATGGAAATCATAAATGGAGGATCATTGGGTTTGGGGTTGGGGTTGGGGTTGGGGTTGGGGTTGGGGTTGGGGTTGGGGTTGGGGTTGGGGTTGGG